ACAGTAATTTACCGTATTTTTACAGAAATTTATTTTTAACGGAAATGTAATTTTACATTACGGTAAAGTACTGGCGTCCTGGTTGCCAGTATTTTGACGGTAATTTTACAGGAAAATTTTTAACAGTGTAGTTTGTTGGTGAAGCAGCTAAGATATATTATTTATTTAAGATTTATCCGGGACCACAAACACAGGCTCTGCCTCCTTGGTTTCTCATCATAAATTATGTTTATAACCATGTTTATAAGTGAAATAAATATGAACTCATTATTTTTCTTATATTCCCAGAAACATTGATTCTTCTTTATGTTACTAGATCGTTCGTATCATCATTTCGGTAATATTATTGTTTCATTTCATTTCACACAACTCCTTAGGGGAGTAAACTTTAAGTTTACTCTCATTCCACTTCAAGCTTATACAAGGTTATAATGTTGGAGTAATTTTTACTCCAGTATTTGGGTTGCTGGAGTTAGATTAACTTCATGTTTAGAGTAAAACAAGCAGAGTTAAAATAACCCATCCACAGAGAGTCAAATTGATCCTAACTCATGAATTTAGCAGAGTTAAATTAACCTATCCATAGAGAGCAAAGTTGATCCTATCGCAATGCATAATGGCAGAGTTAAAATAACCCATCTATCAGAGAGTTAAATTGATCCTATCACAAAGCATTATGGGAGAGCCCACGTTATTCGAGAAAAAAGTTTTGTGTCGCCATTTTCTGTGTCTCGATGTTGAACGAAAATAAAGAGTTTAATTTGACTGTTGTAGTACCGTATAGTCGCGCAAAAATGTAACACGGGCTCTCCCATAATGCTTTGTGATAGGATCAATTTAACTCTCTGATAGATGGGTTATTTTAACTCTGCCATTACTCCTCTAAGGAGATGTGTGAAATGAAATATAACAATAATATTACCGAAATGATGATACGAACGATCTAGTAACATAAAGAAGAATCAATGTTTCTGGGAATATAAGAAAAATAATGAGTTCATATTTATTTCACTTATAAACATAGTTATAAACATAATTTATGATGAGAAACCAAGGAGGCAGAGCCTGTGTTTGTGGTCCCGGATAAATCTTAAATAAATATATCTTAGCTACTTCACCAACAAACTAACCAATTAACCAACTAACCAATCAATCAAGGACCTTTTCACCCTCAAAATCCCCCTTTTCTGACTGTAAAGCTTCCAGTCTTTGATGTCAAAAGACTGTACATGAATTATGCTGTACGGATTAGGTGCAATTTCTGATATACGCTCCATTGCCCTCTCTATAATAATAATAATAATAATAATAATAATAATAATAATAATAATAATAATTATTATTATTATTATTATTATTATCAATATTATTAGATGTGTATAAGATTATTATTATTATGTTTTCAACGTATTATGACCGTTGAAAAGGAAGTACCAACAGTGCAACACTTCGATCATCGAGCTCATTGAATTATATTTCAAGTTGTTGATGTGTTACTTAGGAGAATATTAAGAAGATTATATGTTTTGTTTCAACATTATCAAACAAATAAAATTCAAGTTAACAAAATAAGGAGGGATGTAATATCCTTAAGAAGTGTTGACCCTATGTCAACTACGTCATCTAGTACACTCTAGGCAAACGAACGCAATGACTGAATATAGCACGATGTGCAAGAAACAGGACCTGGCGTATTTCCTCTACATTTAGTGTCCTCGATTACCCAACGCAGATATTACTTATTATTATTATTATTATTATTATTATTGTTATTATTATCACTATTATTATTATAATAATGATATAATCATGTATAATAATAGTGGATTCGATGTCACATCACCATAAAACACAAATTACTCGTCAAAGCTTCACACCATTCATCAACTTTAATAGCTATGCATTCTCATCACCAGAAAACAAAAATTACTTGTCAAAGCTTCATACCTTTCATCAAATTTATAGGTAAAGCTTCACTCACTCAGGATAAAAAAGAACGTTAGGATTTCACTACAACAGCAAATTTATTGACCTTAGGCTTCGACATTATTTGGCGACCTCTGAGGAGGGTGGGTCCAGGCTTCAAAGTGACGCCTGCATTAGGAAAATATTATAAGAGCTATCGATGCGCTACTATTGGTAAAATTAATTTTCTAGAAAAGAAATAAATGATGTCTACAGCACCCGGTATTCCCAAGCGGTCTCCCATCCAAGTACTAACCAGGCCCGACGTTGCTTAACTTCGGTGATCGGACGAGAACCGGTGTTTTCAAGGTAGTATGGCCGTAGACAAGGGTGCACCAACAGTGCAATTATTATTATTATTGCTGCTGCTGCTGCTGCTGCTATTATTAATAATATTATTATTATTATTATTATTATTATAATTATTATTATTATTATTATTATAATTAAAATAATAATAATAATAATAATAATAATGATAATAATAATAATAATAATAATAAA